CAACGCAGAAGTCGTCTCGCAAAAATTCGAAAGCAGCTAAAACAATTCTCCGGCCCAACGGGCCAGAGGCGTGCTATGATCTCCGGTAAATGGTTAACAATATTCTACTTCGCGCGCGCGGGGCGGCCCCTGGGGGTCTCCGGGCGAAAAGTACCCCGGCAAAGTCCCGGCAGGTCCGGGCGAGAGATGCCGGACCGGGCAATTTTTCGACACCCCTCACGAGGATCGAAGCCTCCGAGGGGGAGCCGCAATCGACTATCCTCCCTCCCGCCCCAAGAGGCCCCCCAAACCCCCCCAAGAGGCCCTGGGGGCCCCCAAGACGCCGCCAAGGAGCCCCAAGAGACTCCCAAGGGGTCCCCAAGAGGTCGGATCATGAAAAAAAACACGTCGGAGGGCTTTCCGCCATGTCCAACCTCCGCGGGCCCTCACCGGGCCTCGGGGCCGTCGACAATGGGCCTGGCGAAGGACCCGACCAGATGCTGTTGTGAGTGCCGCAGTTGTGAGTACCATTTGAAGTGGAAATCCCTATGGGGCAACGCCCGCATGCAGGCTGTGTCGCTGGGGCCTTCGGTGGAGTTTCCTGTGGAGCCACGGAACGTTTGAGGGGTGTGCCAAAACGGGGGTGTCGCCCACATGCGGGCTGCGCCACTGGGGCGTTAGGTGGGGCTCCCTGCGGGGCCGCCGAAATGAAGGTATCGTCCACGGGGCCTTGGGCCTTGGGTGGAGCTCCCCTTGGGGCCACGGAACGTGTGAGGGGTGTGCCGGCACGGGGGTGTCGCCCACATGAGGGCTGCGCCAATGGGGCCGTAGATGGAGCTCCCCGTGGTGCCACGATACGCGTGAGGGGAGTGTCGAAGCTCAGGGCGATAATGGTGATGACAACGGCAATGATGAAGACGATGCTGGTGATGATGATTTTTTTTACTCGGCATCAGGACCAATCAAACTGGAGCCAGCTTGCAATAGTAAAAAGAATGATCCGCCGCAGAGTGCCATGGAACTCGTGAAGCCCCGTTCATTGGGCCGCTGTCGCGAGGGTGCTGGCACAAGGGGGCTGCGCTGCGCTGCCTCGTAACGGAAGACATCTATAAGAAGAAAAAGTGTGCCGCCTCATCTTCGGCGTCAAACTCAAACTGGGCCTGCGTGCTACTCGGCTGGTCGGGCGCACTCGATGGCACTGAAGGGGTTTCAACTGGCGCTAGCGAAGAAAAAGGCACGGGTGCTGGCGAAGCGTCAGTGGCAAGCGGGCGTTGAAATGGCACAGAGGCTGAAAGTGGCGCAACCTGCGCTGGCAGGCTGGGCGACACGAGCACTGGCTGGGCTGTACTCGCCATGGGCGCTGAAACGGGCGTGCCTTGAGATGGCGCTGGCGTGTCTAAAGAAACTGGTGGCGTGAGGGGAGCGGCACACATATGGTGGACTGTCACACCGCTCCTGGACGCAGGCAGGGATTCACCTCTGACGAAACGAATTGCTACTGCTCGAGAGTCTCCAGCCAATGAGCCACTTCTTCCTCGAGCCATCCTGCTGGCGCCACTCCGCGGTGATGCTGAGCCGATCCCTCTGAGGCCAGCGCCTTCTGAATGATGAGGCGCCCCTCCCAGGTTGGGGCCCCGATGATGAGCTTCATTTTTTCCGTGTCGAAACAACTCTCGAGCCGTATGAAGCTGATGGCGGTCTGCAGATCGTCCTTGGGGATTTCCACCTCCGCGTCTGGGTCCAACGGCTGTACTTTCTCGAGGTACGTGGCGATCTCTGCCTTGAGCGAGCCCCCGATGTCGCATTTCTGGAGGCTCTCGAGGGCTGCGAGGCCCAGCGCTGGGGCGGGAGAGCCGATCTCCTTGAGCCTGGCCTTGTCGGCGGCTTCTCCGCTCCTGCGAAGCTGATCGAGGAGCTGCTTGTAGCCCTCGAGCTCGTTCGTGATCCCGTCGATGACGGGGTGCTTGCTGCTCATCGTGTACGTGTCGATGCCGATGCTGCTGTTGAGTCTGGTCTTGTGGGTGGTCTGGAGCAGCAGCTTCAGCGTGGATCGCAAGAGACTCAGAAGGTTCTTGTCCTTGCTGCTCCAGACCTTGTCGTTGTGCGCGCCGCGCCTGGCCCTGCGGCCGCCCCTGCGCTTCCTGCGCAGGCCCTGCGCGCCCGCGGCTGCGGCCTCGCCCTCGTCCTCGTCCGCGGCCGCTGGGGGGCGCGGGGACTTCGAGCGCTGGCCTGCTAGCGGCTGCCGCGCTGGAGGCGATCGCAGGCGCGCCTTGGCCTGCGGTAGCTCCCCTGGCTTGGAGGCGCTGCCAGATCCCTTGGAGCCCGCTGAGGAGTCCAGGGGGATACGCCAGGGCGCCCGAGACGCCTTGGCTGGCGTCGGCGGAGGGCCCTTCCCCGCGGGCGGCGCCGTCGCCGCGCCTGCTGCTCGTTCCTCGCTGGTGGCTGCGGCTGCCGTCATGCTGTTCAGGAAGCGGTGGGAGTGTAGGCGTCGAAGCTCTGACCTCGCTGCTCACGGGCTCACAGGCTGGGGGCACTGGCGTGTCTGCACGTCGAGAGGCCCTGCGGAACTGTCGGCGTACGTCGAGCGGATGTCCTGGCCTCAGGATAAGGTCGGCTGATCGACGCAGCCCTGCCCGTACACCAGCGGTGTCCTCGATCACTCGCGGCCGCGGGTGCTGTGAATGGCGGGAAACTCGCAACACTGGGCTCGATCGAGTCGAGCGGAACTCCGTCCTGAGAACTGGTTTGAGCAAGGAACCCGATGGCGACGGCGGGAGGTGAGAGAGAAGGTGATGATGCTGCTGCTGCTGCTGATGATGATGATGATGAAGACGATGAGAGGAAGGAAGGATGGGGGCAGCGGGAGGAAGGACGCGGGGCTCTGTCTCTTCAAAACGATGACCCAGCACCACATGATGGTTGGGGGAAGAACGACTCTGGATGAAAGGCTGGTCCCGGGGATGGGCCGAGACCTCTGGGGGGCCTACGCCATGAAAACACGACGACGTCGGGAGGCTGGGTCACCCCCTCCCTCCCCCCAGCACTGCTGAGCTGACCTTGGCGGCGCGCGCATGGGGGGGCAGGGGGGGGGAGGGGGAAAGGCGCATGCTTCCTCGAAGGAGGCCGCTTCTCAGCAGGCGCGGGCCTTGCACCCACAGAGAAGGCCCGCGCCTTCTACGAGAAGCCCAAGAAGCCTCTGCGCGTGGCTGATGAGGGCGGGGCTCGCTGGCCCGCCTCCCTGAAGGGGCCCTGGGACATACAAATAAACACACACTAATTAAAATATTCCCTATATTTTCCCATCTTGTCTGGGTTTCTGTCTTCCCCCCCCACTCCCCATATTTTCCAATATTTTCGGGGGAATCGACGATTAAAATTGTGTCTGTGCGTTTTTTTCCCTCCTGACTCCCTCCCCCCCTTCACCCTCCACCAGCGCAAGCTCGGAAGTCTGGCGGAGAGCAGCCTCCATCCCTCGGGGCACGGAGCATGGCAGAAGCATAAAAAAGCTCGGAGCTCCGCGCGGACTTCTCGCATCGGCGCTGGACCCCCCTGGCGGCGCCTTCGCTCCCCAGCTCCCTCCCGCTCTGCTCCAACTCGTGCCCGGAGCGTGGGCCCCCGAATCGGGGGTCCTCTGACCCGGGTCAATCCAGACCCGGGTCAGTCAGGCCTTGCAGAATCCTGCAAGATCCTGGAAAATCCTGCACCTAAACCCGGGTCAGTGCGAAGGATCCTGCAAGATCCTGCAGGACCCTGCGCCCAAGCCTGGGTCCATGCGGCCCTGGCCCTGCAGGGGATCCCGCAAGGTCGGGGCGCTCTGGCTGACCCCCGTTTGCGTTGACCCCCGTCTCAAGGCCCCCGACCGAACGTCTGGGCCTCTTCCCCGGGCCCAGTTCATCGCCCCGAGCCGCTTTCTGACGGTCCCATGGCTCTGCGAGGCCTCCGCCGTTGAAGTGGCCTTGGAACACACACACACAAATACATGCACACAAATAGAAGGATCCCCCATATTTCCTCCTATTTTCTGGACTTTCGTCTTCCCCCGCACTTCCCATATTTTTCCAATATTTTCTGGATTTTCGTCTTCCCCCGCACTTCCCATATCTTCCAAGATTTTCCGAGGAATCGACGATTCATTGTGTCTGTGTGTTTTTTTTTTCCCCCTCCCGAGCCGCGGTTCTCTTCCCGCAGCGTGGGCCCCCAGAAAGAAGCCCGGACCTAGATCGAATCGAGTCGATCACGCATGGGGGGCACGACCGCCCTGGAACCTCCCAAACATCTTCCCGCGACGTCCCGCGACTCTCCCATCTCCAAAGGAGATGTGGAGATTTCCCTGGACATCTTCTGGAGATATTTGGATTTCGCATGGGGGACACGACCGCCCTCGAACCTTCCAAACATCTTCCCTCCAAACAGCCTTCCAAACATCGGGGGAGAACAAACCTACCTCGCTTTTGACCACCCTCGCTTCCAAGAGATACCAAGCGACGCCAAATTGCAGCCTGTGCTGGTCAGGCCGCTTGACGAGGAGGCGCGTGGTATGGCTCGGTTTTGCCTGGGAGCGAAAGCGGGGTAAGTAATTCACGCTCTGAAAACATCTTCCCGCGACGTCCCGCGACTCTCCCATCTCCCAAGGAGATGTGGAGATCTCCCTGGTCATCTTCTGGAGATATTTTCGACTTCGCATCCGCAGGGCCCCGGTCGCGCTCGCCATGTTGAGTCCATCTGAGTCTGGACCCTGCGCGAGGGCCCCTGGAGGCCGAACCCTGCCACCATGATCTCCGTCGTTCGAGCAGGGGATCGAGTGCAGAGTCGACTTGCCCCAGACTTGACTTTCTCGCCGAGCCCACGAGAGAAAAGACACGCAGAATAGTCAGCAATACATCTGCGGAGCATATGTGAGCGTGCTTCGTAGCCTCGACGGGACATCAATCTTGGGCTACATCGACTCGAGTCGTGATTTGTCGTCGTGATTTTTCGTCGCCCTGCTCGAGTCGTGATTTTTCGTCGCCCCCGTGGCGGTCCTCCTCGGCGCCCGTGGCCAGGCACTCCTCGAAGACGTCGGCGGGCGGCAGGGCTTCGAGGAGGAAGACGTCCTGGAGGCGCGCAGCGAGCTCCCGCCTGGGCGCGCCGCCGGGGGCCAGGGAGATGCCGATCCTGAGGGGGGTGGGGCGGGCGAAGACAAGGACGGAGCTCGCCCAACGATCTTCTCCTCCTCTTCCTCCTCTTCCTCCTCCTCCTCCTTCTCCTCCTCCTCCTTCTCCTCCAACTTCTCGTCCTCCTCCTCCTCCTCCAACTCCTCCTCCTCCTCCTCCTCCTCCTCCTCCTCCTTCGTCTCCTCCTCCTCCTCCTCATCGTCATCATCACCATCACCATCACCATAATCAGCACCATCCGCACCATCAACATCATCATCATCATCATCACCACCATCATCATCCTCCTCCTCATCATCATCAGCACCATCATCATGATCAGTATCATCATCATATCCATCATCATCATCATCATCAGCATCAGCACCACCGTCACCATCATCACCATCATCATCACCATCAGCATAATCATGATGATGTTCGTCATCATCACCATCATCATCACCATCATCACCATCACCATCAGCATCAGCATCAGCATCATCATCATCAGCATCAGCATCAGCATCAGCATCAGCATCAGCATCAGCAGCATCATCATCATCATCAGCATCAGCATCATCATCAGTTTCAGCATCACCATCATCATCATCCTCATCCTCAGCATAAGCATCATCAGCAGCAGCATCAGCATCAGCATCAGCATCAGCATCAGCATCATCATCAGCATACGCATCAACAGCAGCAGCAGCAGCATCAGCAGCAGCATAAGCATCATCATCATCATCACCATCATCATCATCATCCTCATCCTCAGCATAAGCATCATCAGCAGCAGCAGCAGCATCAGCATCAGCATCAGCATCAACATCATCATCAGCATACGCATCAACAGCAGCAGCAGCATCAGCAGCAGCATAAGCATCATCATCATCATCATCATCATCATCATCATCATCATCAGCATCTCTCGGCTACGCGCAAGAGTGACCCTAGGCAAGCGTTACCTTTGGTGCGCGGCTTAACGGGCGACGCGGGGTGGACAAACCTGGGCGCGCAAGCCGCTGCCACCGCTTCGCGCTCAACCATCGGGGGACCCCGTTGGGGCCCGCACCACAAGTCACTCTGGCGAAAGGTTACTCGTACGTCTAGTCGAGTAGAAGAAGGAACAAAACGCCAGAAGTATACACTTTTGGCGCTCCGCGCGGATTTCCTGTGATCTGCGCTGGACCCCCTCCCTGGCGCGCTCCGCGCGCCAGAGGCGGCGCCGGAGGCGCCGCTGGGGGGCCGAGCCCGGATCCAAGAAATCCGTGCAGAGCGGCAACAGTTCATGTTTATGGCGCTTCATCTTCTTCTTCGACCGAGACTTGCCCAAGGCTCAACTCGCCCGGGCTCAGCCCGCCCGGAACTCATCTCGCCCAGGCTCATCTCGGGCAGGGCAGGTTCGGTGGCAGGCTCGCGCTGCGCTGACGCGGCGGGGGGCCCAGCGCTCGGAGGCCCCGAAAGCGCTGCGAGGACCAACAATGCGGTGGCTTTGGACCCCCCAGAGACCTCACCGCACGGTGCGACACCGCGCGATTCTGGGACCTCGGAAGCCCCAGTCGCCCGAGACATCCTCGAAGAACGACTCGAGTCCCAAAACCGTGCGGCCACCCCGAATCCCCACTGACTCACCGCACAGTGTGTTGACCGCACCGCTTGGTGGCGCCCGAAAGATGCAGGGCAAATCTGGTGGCAGGTTCGCGCCGCACTGCGGCGGCGAACCCAGCGCGGGCGCTCGAGGCTGAATGCCGCCAGTGGCCTGGAATCGACCGACGTCGAACAACCTGAGCTGTCGGAAAGCGGCGAGCGTTCAAAGTTGTACGATCCAAGAGTGCGCCCCCGACGCTGTCGGGGCCAGCCTGGACTACCCTTCAGTCGGGGCTGCGCCGCTACAGGCCGATTTTGGACGAGAACTACACAACATACCCAGAGAAGACTCTAAAAATGATCAATCATGGTCAAAAAGTAGTCCCCAGACTATCTTTGGACTATTTTTGAAAATGGTCAATAAGCAGTCCCCAGACTATTTTGGGACTATTTTTGAACATCCCCCCTGTGGAGGGACAGGCCCGACTGAAGACTGCCCTGGGGGCCCTCCGTGCGCAGCCCGAAGCCTTCCCGGGCAGGCTCGCGCCGCGAGGACGTCGGCGGTGGCCGCTGGCACCTCGCGGACCGCTCGACCTCAGAACCGCTCGCGGCTTGACCACAGCGCAGTTCGCTCGGTCTTGCTCGAAGTCGGGCCTGTCCTCCTACAGGGGGAACTTAGAAGAGAAATAAAACATCGCGAAAAATACCTCAAGATGGGGAAAAATATGCAAAAAAAGGTCCCCAGACTATTTTTTGACTATTTTTTGAATATTACCCCTGTAGAGGGACAAGCCCGACTTAACCTTAGAACCGCTCGCGGCTTGACAGGTCGTTCGGTCTTGCTCGATTCTGGGCCGCTCTCGGGCCGGGCGAAAGGGGGGGATAGCAAAGGGGGGGTTTGAGAATCGGCTCACGCGGCTGATTTTCCCGGCGCCTCCCGGCGCCGGAGGCGGCCATGTATCGAGGAATGGGCCCCTCGGTGGGTCCGAAACCAGCTGCATGCAGCAGACTTCGTACCCCCCCCTTTCCCAATCCCCTCCATTCGTCCGGCCCGACACCAGCGGCGGACAACCTCGAGTGCCCGTGCTGGGTCCGCCGCCGCACCAGCTCGGCGCACCTCGGCCGTGCAGCCGGTGGGCGATGCGACGCGATGAGACCCGCACTCCAGCCTCTGTTGGGCGGTCCTCTACAGTCGGGGCGTTGACCTAAGGAACCCTAAATCGGGAACGAGGCCCCTTTTTTCCATAAGTTAAACTTCGATTCCCGATCGAAAACATAGGGAAAACCTGAGGCAAGCTGTGAAACACTTGAAGGAACGCGGAGCCCCTCCCCAACCAAAAGGGTTCCTTCTTCAAGGCCCCGACTGTGAGAGGGCAGGCCCACGGGACACGCAGTCCCGGCAGGTGGGTGCCACGGGCACTGAACGAGCTGCGCACGGCCGGACCCAGGACACAGAAACACATCCTTCAGGAACACGAGGCCCTCCGCCGGCCCAGCCGAAGAAGATTCGAGGCCCCCCCCCCCAGGATGCACACTCGCATCCAACAAACACGAAGAACACTTGGCCGATCTCGGAAACCCTGAACCCAACAAACTTGCCATCTCTTGGGGGCGCATCTTCTACTGCCGCCGCCTTCCGCCAGCCTTCCGCAGGCTTCCGCCGAGGAAGAGAGGACACCTCATTCTATCCTCGAGGGTGAGGCCCTTTTTTTTGAACGCTCCGTTGAGGCACCCTTCCCGAACCGACCTCGATCTTGTACACCTCGGTCCGACCGTACAGCCAGTGGGCACGGTCAACACGAACACCGCCCAGGAGATTCGGCCCCCCCCCCCCCAGGATGCGCAGACACATCCAACAGGCACGAAGAATATGTCGGTACCATCTCCGAACCGACCGCGATCTTTTAGGCCCCAATCTGACGTAAAGCCAGTGGGCACGGTTCCCAACAGAGCACCGCCCAGGAGATTCGGGATCCACCAAAGGGGGGGTGACCCTGAGAGGGGGCATGAGTTCGATCCGTTGGTGCACCGAAGTGCCGCAAGCAGATGCCCCCCGTATACCCCACCTGTCGGTAACTCTCAGGAGCTGCCGGCGGCTGCTTTGGCCAGTTCGATGCAGTAGCCAGTCGAACTCACCGCTCCCCTGGGGCACACCGCCCCTCTGTGGGAGCCCGAAAGGTCCTCGGGCCGCCTGCCTGGGAGCTGCTTTTTGGGCCGGCGACCCGGGCTGGCCTGCCGGGGAGCTCGGCGGCGCGAGTTGGAAGAAGCGCTGGGGCAGTGCGAGAACAGAAAGGCGCGTTCCGCTGCTCGCAGAGTAGCTACTGGCAGAAGGCCTGGATCCGCCGTGGGGGATCTACGCTATCTATATATATATATATATATATATATGTATGTATGTATATATATATATATGTGTACAAACGTATATAACTGTATACATTTATATACAGATCATCATCATCGTCATCATCATCATCATCATCAGCATCATCAGCATCATCATCATTGTCATCATAATAACCACTATCATTTTCATCATCATCATCACCATCACCATCACCATCACCATCACCACCATCATCACTATCACCATCATCATCATGATCATTATCATTATCATGATCACCACCATCATCATCACCATCATCACCATCCTCCTCCTCCTCCTCCTCCTCGTCATCATCATCATCATCATCATCATCATCATCATCATCATCATCATCATCATCATCATCATCATCATCATCATTCTCATCAAGGAAAACATATGTTGTTTCGGCCGTGTGCGCGTAGTCGCTTTGCAATTCGTGGAACGAACTCGGTGAGAGAAAGGCGGGTTTATTCATGACCGGCGCGCCACTCTGTGGACATCACCGCCTGGCCTTGAACGGTCCATGATGAAGATCGGTTCGCCCGAGAAACCTGGGCCAGCCTCGTGGCATCCTGCTACGCAAACGCTGGGTCGGCTTCGCGCGAAGGACCCCATGCATGTGCAGTGGTCTAAAAGTGGGCCAGCTTCCAGGAACGCCGCCAACTAGACCCTTTGCTAAAACGAGGAGGGGAGTTCGCGTAGTGATCGGCGCAACTGTGTCCACCACTAACAAGCCTCCACAAGTCCATCCAGGGCCCAGATTCTGGTGGATGTGCCAGTGTGGTTGGGATACATGTGCATAATCAGGAGGAGCCGACAAGAACCGAGAATCACCGATTTCAGCCGTACTGGGCCGGTGGGAGCCAGAAGTCGGTAGAACCCGATAGGAACCAATCGGAGCCGAAGCGGCCAGTAGGAGCGGGTCAGAGCCGATGAGAACAGATCGGAGCGCCCAGGAGCTGAAAGGAGTCGAAACGGGGGAAGGTAGGATGCCAATGGGAGCTGGCAAGAGCCAACAAGAGCCGATGGGACCCGAGAAGGGGCCAGGAGTCGGAAAGAAGCCCATCGGAGCGGATGGACGCCAAGAGGAGACGAAAAACGTCGATGGGAGCCGAACGGCGCCGATTGAAGCCGACGGAAGGCCGATAGGAGCCAGCAGACACCGACAAGCGCTGACGGGAGCCCACGGGAGCGTCAACTCATCTCGGCCACTCTCGGCTCGCATCAACTCCCATCGGCTTCTTCCGCTGGGCCACCTGGTGTCACGCTCCGCGCTGCGCGAGTCGCCGCTGCCTCTGTGCTCTTCTGCGCCCCGTGGGGAAGGACACATCTAGTAAAATAACAAAATGGCATGCGTGCACATAAACTTTTGACGCTCCGCGCAGATTTCTTGGATCTGCGGCGGACCCCCCTCCTTGGCGCGCGGAGAGCGCCAGGGGGGCCCAGCGCGGATCCAAGAAAAACGCGCGGAGCGGCAACAATTCATGTTTATGGCGCTTCTTCTTCTTCTTCGACCGAAGCTCGCCCAAGGCTCGACTCGCCCAAGGCTCGGCTCGCCCGGAACTCATCTCGCCCAAGCTCATCTCGGGCAGGGCGGGCTCATCTCATATGTTAATGGCCCTTCTTCTTCTTCGAACATCTCTCTGGCCATCGCTCGGACGTCCATTCTCTGCGTTTTTTTTCTGTTTCGTGCGTGGTTTTTTCGCCAAATGATCAAGGATGCTCCTCGATGGTCCTCGCCGAAGGAAAAATGCACACGTCCGAGCGATGCCAAGACATCTCTCTGGCCCAGACCGTGGAGCACGCGGGCCGAGAGCGTGTTCGCGCCCCCGGCGGGTGACCGAGCCCGGCGGCCGGGCCGCGCAGGCTCCCCGAGAGGGCGCGCACCGTCGGAGGAGGAGGGGGAGGAGGAGGGAGGAGGGGGAGGAGGGGGAGGAGGAGGAGGAGGAGGAGGAGGAGGAGGAGGAGGAGGAGGAGGAGGAGGAGGAGGAGGAGGGGGAGGAGGAGGAGGAGGAGGAGGAGGAGGAGGAGGCAGAGGCAGAGGCAGTCCGCACCTGCGCGAGGCTACTCGTGGCAGCCGAAAGGCGAATTGTCCGCCTTCCTCGGGCACGCGCCCCGAAATGGAGATCCGCGGCTCGGGGCCAAAGCACGCGGCCGACGCCGCCCGAGTTTTTGGCGACGGAGCGCGCCGATTCAGCTTAGCAGCGGAGCCCGTCGCGGAATCCACGCGCCTTGCTCTGTGTCTGCGCATCCTCGGCTCACCTGGCCTGCCAGGAGCTGTTGCCCACAGCCATCTGGCCCAACGTCTCAACAGCCATCCATGCGCGGGCGGCTCAGGGCACGAGCTCTTCCCAGAGCTCTCTTCCCCCCTCGGGAGTGGGCCTGTCACCGCTTCCCATCATCAGACACCCTTTCCCTCGTTCGATAGGCTGCCGATCTGGCACAGTGCCGACTCCCCACGCCATCCCTACAAACCGAATGCAACGTGCACGCTGCGGCAGACACTGGGGAATGTGCGGGTCCTCGTTTTGATCAGACAGCGCCCCGCGTCTCCCCTTCCTCCTCCATCCTCCTCCTCCTCCTCCTCCTCCTCCTCCTCCTCCTCCTCCTCCTTGCACGTTCCGTAGCCCCAGAAGGAGCCCCACCGAAGGCCCCAGTGGCGGTGTTCACATGCGCTTCCCCCACCCAGTGCAGCGTTTCGTGGCCCCATTGGGAGCTCCATCGAAGGCCCCAGTGGCGGCGCCCGCATTCGTTTTGAATTGAATATAACGCCTCGTGGCCCCTTAGGGAGCTCCAACCGAAGGCCCCCGTGGCTGTATTCGCGTGCGTCTCCCCCGCCCAATACAACGATGCATGGCCCGATGCGGAGCTCCACCGGAGGCCCCAGTGGCGGTGTTCGCATGCGGTTCCCCCACCCAGTGCTGCAGCGTGTCGTAGCCTCGTAGGGAGCTCCACCAAGGGCCGCACTGGCGGTGTCCGCATGCGTGTCCCCCCAGCGTGTCGTGGCCCCATAGGGAGCTCCACCGAAGGCCCCAGTGGCGGTGTCCGCATGCGTTACCCCACCCAGTACAGCGATTTGTGGCCCCATGGGGAGCTCCACCGGAGGCCCCAGTGGCGGAGTTCGCATGCGTGTCCCCCACCCAGTACAGCGTGTCGTGGCCCCATAGGGAGCTCCAGCGAAGGCCACAGTGGCGGTGTTCGCACGCCATTCCCCCATCATTTACAGCGCCTCGTGGCCCCATAGGGAGCTTCACCGAAGGCCCCATGGGGAGCTCCACCGAAGGCCCCAGTGGCGGTGTTCGCATGCGTTTCCCCCACTCAGTAACATGCTTCGTGGCCCCATTGGGAGCTCCACCGAAGGCCCCAGTGGCGGCGTTTGCATGCGTTTCCCCCCCCCCCCCCCCCAGTATATCGTTTTGACGCTCCAAAGAGAGCTCCACCGAAGGCCCCAGTGGCGGTGCTCGCATCTCCCCTGAGGCGGTGTCCGCATGCGTGTCGTCCCCCACCCAGTACAGCGTGTCGTGGCCCCATAGGGAGCTCCACGGAAGGCCCCAGTTGCGGTGTCCGCATGGGCTTCCCCCCAGCCAATACAACGTTTCGTGGCCTCAAATGGAACTCCATCAAAGGCTCTAGTGGCTGTGTTTGCATGGGCATCCCCCATCCAATACAGCGTTTCGTGGCCCCACAGAAAGCTCCACCGAAGGCCCCAATGGCGACGTTCGCATGGCGGCCCAGCTCCAGTTCGGCACACCCCTCACAAGTTTCGTGGCCCCATATGGAGCACCACCGAGGTCCCAATGGCTGCGCCCGCATGCGTCCCCGCCCAATTTCGGTACACCCTTTACACGCTTCGTGGCCCCACAAAGAGATCCACCGAATGCGATACCCACAACGGCGATACTCACAACTGCATATTGTTGGGCCCTTCGGCAAGATAATTTACAGGGTTGGCAGGTGTGAGAGCACGCTATCCGCCGTTACGCTGGCACACCATCTCAATCAAACGCCAAATGTGTGCGACTGGGAGTGTGCACACCGTACACGTTGCTAATGAATCGCCGCGCCGCTACATCGTACGTTTTTTTCCAACGAGGGCCAAGGAGTCTGTTGACAGATTGCCCGATGTGTGCTTTCACGCGCACTGGCGCACTTGGCGCACCTGGCGCACCCTGCACGCGTCGCGCACCCGGCGCGCCCGTGGCACACGCGGCGCAAGTTGTGCACCTGGTGCCTCTGGGGCACCAAGCGCGGCGCCACGCGCACCTGGCTCGCGTGGCGCACCTGGCGCGTGCTGAATCCCAGTGGGTGTCCATCGGGCGGCGACCGCCGTCTATGTTGAGTCTTGGGTGCCACCTGTGCGAGCGGGTGGAGGTGAGCCAGTGAACGAGACAGCTTGTGGCGCTTGTGCTCGGATCTCGACCCTCCCCTCACCCTTCCTGGGGCTCTGCGCCGCCCTCTTCCGCGAGGTGCCACGAGGTCCGTTTTGGCTCCGCATGTCTTCGACATGACATCCCCAAGATGGCCCGAAGTTGTCCAAGACGGTCTCGAAGATGGAGCACGGCTGTCCAGCTTTCTTCAAGACGGCTTCCAGCATGCCTCCAAGAGGCTCTAGATGGTAGCCACAGAAACTCCTCATGATGGCCTGAGGCGCTCAAATCGCCAAATTCTGTAAGCTGTTGCAGCTGATTTCTGCTTTCTGGCCTTTTCGTATCGGGTGGGCACCGGGGGCCTGAAGATGGCTCAAGAATGCCCACGGCAGACCCAACAGTCACTCTGACTGACCCAACACGCCCGCCAGGGCCTCCGAGAGCACCGCAAGAGAGCCCCAGGAGGCGATCTCTGGGCTCAGGCAGGGGGACCTTGATTCACACGAACATCAATTCTCTTCATCGATGGTCTCCGGGATCGTGAACGTTTTTTTTTATTCGGCGTGTCATCATTGGGCGGAAGGGGTGGGGGAGGGGTTTGGGGTCTGGCTCTGGACCTCCGCTTGTTGCGAACGTTTGCAGCAGTGCGTCCTACGGGGGAGGGGCTCCACCTGCTCGAAACAGGCGCCACAAACAGCCAAGATCTACTCCATGGGGACGGGGGGGGTGGGGGGGTGCGAAGGCTCGCGCCCATCGGCAAAACAACGAAGAAGAAAACGATCACATCGGCCCAAGAGGGTGCCGACAGCCCCCAAGAGGGCCCCTAGAGAACCCCACACGCTCCCCAAATAGACACGATGCTGGCCCCTAAGAAGCCTGAAAGAGGCTCACATCAGCTCCTGGTTGGCCATTGTTTAGGGCTGCTGGGGCTAACTCCAGCTTCTGTTTGTAACTCCAGCGCGAACTCTGAAACTGTCATTGCGGCTGTCTCGGGGGTCTACCCGGTGTGATCCCGAGCTTCGGCTTGACAGCTGTCACCCTCTCTGCTCCTCGCGCCACTGCGCAATCCCACTACGCTTCCCTGCCCCACGCATCTCGCTCGGGAATCGGTTAGGATGGGCTGGTGGAGACACGCGCGAAGCGTCAGGAACTTCGAGTAGGGGATTGATTATATAATTGATGTATTTTTGAATTTTTACGTCGAGTCAACGGAAAGTACGTCGAATGCTCCGTAGATTTATTGAGCATTCTATGTATTTTCGTGGGTCCGACGAAAAACAACAAGTTTTGGGTAAGTAAATTCTGTCGTCGATCCCCTACTCGAGAACTAGGTCTTTGGAGGCTGGGTGGTATTGGATGCTTCCACTTCCCCGACGATCCGGGCGTACTGGGCGGTGAGCTGCGGCACGCTCATGGACTCGATGGAGGCAAACTCCGCGGACACCTGCGCCGCCTTCAGCAGGCCAATCTTGGAGACCTGGATGCCCCTCCCCTCGTAGTCCCTGCGGAAGCGATCCTGAAAGAGCGAGGCAAAATCGCCCAAACATAAGCCTGTGGAGGTCCGCGCGCATCTTTCGGGTCCGCATCGGACCCCGCTTTCCTGGCGCGCGGAGCGCGCCGGGGGCGGCGCTGGAGGCGCCGCCAGGGGGGCCCAGCGACGATCCAAGAAATCCGCGCGGAGCCCCAACAATTACTGTTACAGCCGGGCCAAGGACAGAACAACATCTTTTCAGAACATGAAGCCCTCAGCTGGCCCAAACACCCAAAAGCCATAAGATCACTCGAGGGTTCCCTCTCCCAGGGTGCAAAACTACATCCAGCAAACACGAAGAACACCAGGGTACCCTCCCCCGACCGACCTCGATCCTATACCTCGGTCCGACCGTCATGCAGCAGTTTTTCCTCGAGGTCCACCACCAGCTGCTGTATGAGCTCGCTGCGGACCTCCCTCTTCTTGGTCACGGCGCCGGAGGCTCTGATCGGCGGGTCCCTGGCCTCGCACACGCGCTCGAGGTCGGGCAGCGGCAGCGCGTTCCACACCAGCACCTCCCGGAAGGCCTCGAGCAGGGCCTCCCTGCCCCGGTGCGCCACGACGTCCGCCTGGAATCCGAGGCCGTTCCACTCGCTCCTCAAGTCCTCGTCGCCCAACCCGCGGAGCCGCTCGTACTCCTCGACGACCATGACGGCCTTGTCGATGGAGCCGATGCGAGTGGCCTGGAAGCCACGGCCGTCCCAAATGCGCATGCACTCGCGCTCCGTCAGCCTGTCCACGAGGAACGTGCGCTCGTCGGCGTGGCCGGGCGGCGCGGGATGCTCCGCACACTCCCGCCGCAGGCGCTCCAGGGGCTGCCACCTCCAGAGGAGCGCCTGCCTGCGCAGGTGCACGAGCTCGGCCTTCGCCATCGCGGCCTCCCTCGGGAGGCCCTTGCCCACGTACCACTTCCAGAGGGTCTCCTCGCTCTTCTGCTCCACCGCCGCGTGCTGCTGGATGACCTGGGCGGCCTGCAGGGTGCCGAGCTCCTCCACGGGGATCCCCATGCGCTCGTAGCACGGCCTGAAGCGGTCCACCACGAGCTGGGGCAAGAAGCCCTCCGAAGGGTCCTCCTCGCCGCCGTGGCCCGGGCCCCCGGCGAGCACCGGGGGGTCCCGCGACGAGCAGAGGCGCCGCAGCTCCGGGAGAGGCAGGCGCTCCCACGCCGCCACGTCGCGCATGGCCGCGAGCAGCTCGGAGCGGTCCTGCGGCAGCGAGCCCTCCGCCGGCAGGGCCAGGGGCCCGATGCCCTGGCACGCGGCGAGCAGCTCGGGGCGCGGCATGTCGAGCCACTGCTCGTAGAGCTCGAGGACCTCCCGCGTGGCACCGCTGCCCAGTGAGCGCGCGGGGATGCCGGCGGCCTCCACGCAGTCCAGGTACTGCTGCTCCTGCAGTCTCGCGAGCAGCGCGGCCCGCGACTCGGTGGCGACTGGTGGCAGTCCCCACCGCTGGCGCTCCCGCTCCAGCTCCCTGGCGGGAAGCTCCCGCATCAGGTGCGAGGCCTTCGCGAGCCTCGCCAGCGCCTCCCTGGGCAGAGCCCTGCCGCCGACGAGGCCGCACCGCGCGACGTGCGCGACCAGGTCGTCATCGCTGGCGTCCTCGATCGCCTCGAACTCTTGCGCCAGCCGCCTGGCCGCCTCGATGCTGCCGAGCTGGGCGGGGTCCGCGCCGCGGGCCCGCAGGGGCAGCGCCGCCTGCTGCCACGCCGCCAGCCGCGCCTGCAGCGCGCGCCGGTCGCCAGACCAGTCCAGCGAGCGCTCGGAGCACTCCGACCGCAGAGCCTCCTCGCCCATGTGCTCCCACACCAGGAGGTCTCGGAGCCTGTCCACCGATCCCTGCGGCCCGAGCTCCGCGCAGAAGGCGAGGCCGCGCCGCACGTGCTCGGCCTCCAGCCGCGCGACTCCGGCGGCCTGGAGCGCGTCCACCTGCCACAGCAGCTGCGTGGCCACGTGCAGGCCCAGGACCTCCGGAGGGATCCCGCGGGCTCTGCACCGGTGGGCGCCCAAGCAAGCCTTCAGCTCCTTGATGAGCCCAGCCGCGTCCGCCTCCGACACTGGCCCCGCGACGTCGTACGCCAAGCACTCCCTCCGCAGCTCCTCTAGCGGGAGCTCCGCCCAGATAGCGCACTGCCTCAGGTCCGCGAGCAATGCCGCCGCGTACGCCTGCCGGGGCACTCCAAGCCTGCGGCACTCTCCCGCGAGCTCCTCTGGTCCGTGGCCATCCAAGACCCGGAAATGATCCAACACGCGGCGGCAGGCGGCGGCGTCGGGCAGTCGGCTGGCTGGCACGCCCAGCGCTTCCCACTCGCACTGGGCGAGCAGGCTCAGCAATTCGGCGCGGCTGCGAGCAGCCTCGCCGCCTCCCAACTCAAGGCCGAAGCCCGCGCAGGCGGCCGCCAGCATCTGCACGGTGCCCTCCTCCTGGATCAGCACCCGCTGCAGTTGCTCCCTGAGTTCCGCCCTCGACAGCAGCTCGTCGGTCGGGCGCCCCCTCTGCTCCAGCTCTCGCGCCAGCCGCGGCGCGGCCAGGCGCCCGAGGCCGTCAACCTGGTCGAGGAGTGCGGTCACGTTGCAGCCGGCCCGCAGGCTCGCGACGGGCACCCCGAGGGCCCGCGCCCTGGAGAGCTCCTCCTCCGAAGCCTGCGCAGCCGCGCTCAGCTCTTCCCGCCGAGTGGCCTGAGGCGCCTCTGCGGGCGGCGCCCGCGCAGCGCCCGTCGGCGCCACCTGGGAGGTGGCCGGCCGAGAGCCTGGGGCGGCCCGCGGCCGCCCCCACGCCTCGTGAAGCGCCCTCGGCTGGCCCGCCGCGGCCGCCCTCTCCAGCGCCCGCGCCCGGGAGGGCTCCTCCTCGGAAGGGTCCGCCGCCGCGCTCAGCTCTTCGTGCCGAGTGACTCGACGGGCGCACGCGGGCGGCGCCTGCGTCATGCCCTGCGGCGCCGTCTCGGAGGTGGTCCGTGGAGAGCCTGGGGGGACCCGCGAGCCCCCCCACGCCTCGCACAGGTGAGGCGCCCTCGGCTGGTCCGCCGCGGCCGCCTTCTCCAGCGCCCGCGCCCTGGATGGCTCCTCCTCGGAAGCGTCCGCCGCCGCGCTCAGCTCTTCGTTCCGAGAGGCCTGGTCGGCGTCGACGGGCGGCGCCTGCGCTGCTTCCAGCGGGGCCGCCGCCTCGGAGGTGGCTGGTGGAGCGCCTGGGGGGGCCCGTAGCTGCCCCCACGCCTCGCACGAGGGCGCGTGCATCAGTCGCCTCCGCAGCGCTTCGGCGACGCCAGAATCGTCCAACCCGAGCTCCCTGCACGCAGTCCGGAGGGCACTGGGCGCCGCCTGCTCCCAGACGACCGCACCCCGCAGGCGGTCCAAGACCTCGGCGCGCCCAGCGCCCGCTTCGAAAGGCAGCCCGACGCGCGCGTGCTCGGCCCGCAGCGACAAGGGGCCCATTGCCCACTGCAGGTCCATCCGCGCCAGCACCCTCTCGGCGGCCTCGGGGCCCCCAAACCGCGACGCCAGGGCGACCGCGCCCGCGCTCGAGCCGTCCATGGCCAGGCCAAGCTCGCGGATCACGTCCCCGCGGCCCACCTGGGGCAGGGCGCCAATGGGGTCGTCGCTGGCTGAGCCGGCGCCGTCGCTCCGCAACTCCCGCCGCAACTCCGAGAGCGGCATGCGCTCCCAGACGATCTCCCGCCTCAACCGCCGCCTCACCGAGTGCGGCTCGCGGCCGGCTGGGTGCTGCAGGCCCCGCTCTGCGCACCACTCGGGGAGGCGCTGGGGCGCGCACTCCTCCAGGCTCTGGAGCTCCCTGAGGACCTCGCGCGCGGCCTCCAAGTGAGGCAGCCTGTCCACGGGCACCCCAACCTCTTCCCAGGAGCGCCGCGCTGGCCAGCACGCCAGGTCGTCCCTGGGCTCGTCGCCGTGGGCCGTCAGCCCCAGCGCCGCGCATCTGGCTCGGAGGGCCCCCAGGCCAAGGTGCTGCCACACCAGCGCGTCGTGCACCATCGGCTTGAGCTCCCCGCGGGTGAGGTCGGGGGCGTCGCCGCAGCCTGCGAAGCCCAGCTCCTCGCGGACGAGAGCGAGCTGCCCCGCCGTCATGCGCTCCAGCCTCTCCAGCCGCTCCAGCAGCGCCTCCACGTCCGCCCCTGGGTCGAGCGTGGCCAAGTCCACGCCGCAAGCCCCCGCTCTCGCGGCCACGCTGCCGCCTGGCGCCCCGCCGCGCTCCGCGTGCGCCTCGGCCTCGGCCTCCACCGTGGGGCTCTTGCGCGGAGCAGGCCGCAGCGACCTCGGCGGCGCCGTGCGTGCGGGGCGCGTGGCCGCGCCGCTGCCGAGCTGCTGGCGCAGGGCCGCCAGGGTGTCTGCACCGAAAGCACGCATGCCCTTGGCGCGCAGGAGGGCGTTGAGCGTGCCCTCGGCCAGCACTCGCTCCAGCCCCTCCGCCGTGCCGACACCGAGGGCGAGCAGCTTGGCCTCCACCTTTGTGAGCTCCGCCTGGTTCCACTCTGGCCGGGCGCTCTCCAGAAGCCCTCGGAGGTCGCCCGCCGTGGCTGCGGCTGGCGCCATTGCGGACGGTCCCGCGCTCGGGGCGGGCGGGGGGGCACGGGCGGCTACTATCGGCCTCGGGCCTTGACGTGCCTGGCAAGCCCACGAACTTTTATGACTATCTGAGAGCCTGCGTTCGTAGACATCCGATCACGTACGGGAATCAGTGTGCGTTTGCGCACGCGTGTGTCTGTAACTGCGCGTGCGCTGCACGTGCTGTGAATCCGGGCGTGCACTCGTGCTTTCTTGTGCAGGTGTGTGTGTACATGCAACTGAGGAGAGCTTACATCTCTCTCCCTCTCTCTCTCTCTCCGCCACAGTGCCCCCCTGGCGCGTTGAGGCGTGGAAGAATGCCAAGGTCTGCCTTTCGGGTTTCGGAGCCGCAGTGCGGGACCGCCCCCCCCTCCACCCGCGGACCCCTGCGTGCCCCCCTGCTCGCCGAGGCCCCTTCCCTCGTGCACTTTCGAGGGTGGCGCACTACCCGCCTTGCAGCCAATGTCTATCTTCCCCCTTTCCACGCGTGCCCGCTCGAGGACGATGCACTTCCCGCGTGGCAGCTGATGCCTGACTCCCCCACGCGTGCCCGCTCGATGATGGTGCACTTCCCGCACGGCAGCTAACGCCTGAACCCTGTGCGCTTCCCGCATGGCAGCTGATGCCTAACTCCCCTTCCACGCGTGCCCACTCGAGGATGGTGCACTTCCCGCAAGACAGCTAATGCCTGGCTCCCCCTTCCTCGCGTACCCGCTCGAGGATGGTGCACTTCCCGCATGGGAGCTAATGCCTGACTCCCCCTTCCATGCGCGCCCGCTCGAGGATGGCGCACTTACCGCATGGCTGCTACCTCCTAGACCCTCATCCCACGCGCACCCGCTCGAGGATCATGCACTTCCCGCATTCCCAGGCGCTGCTCCCAAGCACTCCATGGCCTCCGACGCCACGATCCGTTGTTAATAGCGATGGGTCTATATCTTCCAACGCGGCCCTGCAGGCAACCAAGGACACCAAGATGGCCCAAGATGCCTCGAAGACGGCCCAAGATGGCCCCAAGGCGGCCGAATACGCTTCAAGACGCCTCCGAGAGGGCCACACGAGGACCTCCAACAGGGTCAGAAGAAGCAAAACGACCCAAGATAGCCCAAGAAGGCCTCCTGTGGGACCCAATACGGCCTTAAAAGTCCTCGGACGGCCAAAGACGGCGCCAAGACTGCCCCACGACGGCCCCCAAACACCCACCGTACGGCCAAGAAAGCCGCACGACGGCCTAAGAGAACCTCAAGCCGGCGTAAGATGGCCCCAATACGGCCCCAGGGGACCTTCAAGGGTGCCTCACAGGAGGCCAAGACAGCCCCAAGACGGCCCAAACGAGTGTCATTATCATCATCATCACCACCACCATCATGAGCATCATCATCAGCATCATCACCACCATCACCATCATCATCAGCATCATAGTCATCATCGTCGTCACCATCAAAATAACCATCACCATCACCATCACTCACCATCACCATCACCATCACCATCACCATCACCATCACCATCATCATCACCATCACCATCACCATCACCATCACCATCACCATCATCATCACCATCACCATCACCATCACCATCATCATCATCATCATCATCATCATCATCATCATCATCATCATCATCAGTAGTATCACCACCACCATTTTCATCACCATCATCATCATCATCATCATCATCATCATCATCATCATCATCATCGTCTTCATCATCGCCATCACCATCAGCATCAGCATCATCACCTCAGCATCCTCATGACCAATGATCATCATCATTTATCATCACCACCATCACTATCATAATCATAATCCTCCTCCTCCTCCTCCTCCTCCTCCTCATCATCATCATCATCACCATCACCACCATTACCACCACCACCCTGGCCCTCGACCCAGCTGAGGGCCTCCTTGGGGAAGCTCCGGGGGGTTGAGGATGTCCCACGCGAGGGCGCCGGTTTGGAATTCGTCGCCAGATTCGCCGGATTTCGCCGGGTTCGCCGGCTTTGCCTGGATCTCGCCTGAACGGAACAGGGGGGGCTCTGAGGGCCTCCTTGGGGAGACTCTGGGGGCGGTGTTTCTGAGGATGTCCCACGCGAAGCCGCTGGTTTGGAATTCGTCGCCGGATTCGCTGGATCTCGCCGGATTTTTCGGATCTCACCTGAAACGGAACAGGAGGGCCTCTGAGGGCCTCCGGCCTCCTTGGGGAGACTCTGGGGGTGTTTTTTTTTCTGAGGATGTCCCAAGCGAGGGCGCCAGTTTGGAATTCGTCGCGGGATTCGCCGGATTTTGCCGGATTCGCCGGATATCCATGATCTCGCCTGAAACGGAACAGGGGGAGCCAGTCGGCGGGGCCATTGCCTCGCGCGCTGGGGGTCAGGATGACGTGAGTTCCACAGAAACTCCTTCAAATCATCATCATCGTCATCATCAGCGTCATCACCGTCATCATCGCCAGAATCATCACGGCCGCCATCATCACCATCATCGTCATCATCATCGCCGTCATCATCACCATCCACCCCTCACACGCTTCCTGGCCGCATAGGGAGCTCCACCGAAGGCCCCCGCGCCACCGTCCACACGCGTCCTCCACACCATTTCGGCACATCCCTCACACGTTTCGTGGACCCATAAGGAACTCCACCGAACGCCCCAGTGCCAGCGTCCACATTCGTCCCCCACACCAATTTCGGCACACCCCTCACACGTTTCGAGGCCCAATTGGGAGCTCCACCGAAGGCCCCATTGCCACCGTCCACATGCGTCCCCCGCACCCATTTCGGCACACCCCTCACACGTTTCGTGGCCCCATGACTAGCTCCACCGAAGGCCCCAGTGCCACCGTCCACATGTGTCGCCCACACCAATTTCGGCACACTCCTCACACGTTTCCTGGCCCCATAGGGAGCTCCACCATAGGACCCAGTGCCACCGTCCACTTGCGTCCCCCACACCCATTTCGGCACACCCTTCACACGTTTCGTGGCCCGAAGGCCCTACATGCGTCCCGTGCGCCCATTTCGGCACACCTCTCGCACGTTTCGTGGCCCCATAGGGAGCTCCACCGAGGACCCAACTGCCACCCGTTCACATGCGGCCCCATAGGGAGCTCCACCGAAGGCCCCGTGCCACCGTCCACATGCGTTCCCCGCACTCATCTCGGCACACCCTTCACACGTTTCGTGACCCCATAAGGAGCTCCACCGAAGGCTCCCGTGCCACCGCCCGCATGTGTCCCCGACACCCATGTTGACACCCCCCTCACACGTTTTATGGCCCCGTAAGGAACTCCACCGAAGGCCCCAATGCCACTGTCCGCATGCGTCCGCCGCACCCATGTCGGCACAGTCCTCATACGTTTCGTGACCCCGAAGGGAGCTCCACCGAAGGTCCCGTGCCACCGTCCACATGCGTCCCGCACACCCATGTTGGCACTCCCCTCACACGTTTCGTGGCCACGTAAGGAACTCCACCGGAGGCCCCAGTGCCACCGTCCGCATGCGTCCGCCGCGCCCATCTCGGAACCCCCCTCGCCAGGTTCATCGGGAGCTCCACCGAAGAAATCCACAATCGCGGTGCTCACAACTGCATATGGTTGGGTCCTTCGCCAAGCTAACTTTCCAAAATGTTGCTCCATGTGATGCGCTGGCCTCGTTTTCGGCCTTCCGCTTGTTCCGAATCGCGCTCCCGCTGCAACGTTGGCCTGATTTCCGCGCTCCCGCTGCAACGCTGGCCGCATTTCTGGGTTTTCATACATGTTGTTGGCAATTCGATTCTTGTCGGTCCTTCAAAGCTCCCGCTGCAGCGCTGGCCCCTTTACTGCGCCTCTGGTTGTTCCAAAACGTGCTCCCGCTGCATCGAAGGCGTTTCGGTCTTTCCAAATCGGCCCCACATCTAGAACATGAGCCTGGCGAAGGACCCGACCGTGTGCAGTTGCTCGGTGGTGGCTCCCTATGCGGCCACGAAGCGTGTGAGGGGTGTGCCGCAATGTGTGTGTGGGAGACGCATGTGGACGGTGGCACTGGGGCCTTCGGTGGAAGTGAAGTGAAGTGAAGTCCTGTCAAGGTGGCCCGCAAGGGGCAGGACCCTACGCGAAATCCTCAGGAGTGGAAGTGCGACTTCACCGAATATGAAAGAAAATCAGCCGTTAGACTTGCCCAATGATCTGCGTCCCCAGCAAGAAGTTGCCACTCCCCCAGCCCACGGTCTCGGCAAAATCTTCTCACCGAGTCTTCAAAGCGCATCCACCTGCGACTTGACGGACGCGTCGGGCGAAGCGAGCCCCACTCGCCAGAAGCAGCCTGCCAAGAAGAATCTCTCCACGTTGTGACACCATTCAACCAGTCGATGGCGCTCGCCCGGGCCGCGCGCCCTGCCCAGAGCCATTTCCTTCGGAAATGTTCCGGCGCCCACTCTTTAAGACCAGTACTTTCGGCGAAGCGGCGCACTCGCCGGGTGGCTCTTTGGACCCAGTCAACCCACGGCTCCCCGTCGGCGCGCCCACAGCCAACGATTCTCCGCAGCATTAAATTCTGAGCCACGTTCAGCTTCCTGAGCTCCTCTGCCCTGGGCGTCCACGACTCGCATCCCCATAGAGCGCATTCTGTGACAGTAGAATTAAATAGACGTAATCTTCTCCTCAAAGAATATGACCGGTTTAGAAGCAACCTCTTCATTGCCCAGAACTTGCGCCACCCGCAAGCGACGCGATGTTCCACTTCCTGGCCCGTCGGGTCCTCGAGAGAAACGCTGGTGCCCAAGTGTTCGAGATGTTCGCCCGGCTCCAATATTTCTACGGAAAAACCCTCCGTCAGCACGGCGGCGCCCCTGCGTGTGAACTCGGCCCGGTTCGTCTGGACCTTGCACTTGGCGGGATGTAAGTCCAGGCCCACCTTCGCCAGAGCGTCCCGGAGCATTAGAATCATTCTTCTCATGGAGATCCAGCTTCTGGCTATGAGCGTCTGGTCATCTGCAAAAGCTACGTGC